TCAAGATTACCGACGATAAACTAATTCAGAAACAGTAAACGATACTCTAGTCGAATACTTTAGCTGAAAGAAATTCAATTGAAGTGAAAACAGTAGTCTTGATACGCATTAAACGATCAAAACAAAATATACTCAGCGAGGAAAAACACCACTGTCCTTTTTAATTAGCACGCCAAATGTGTATTGTCAAATCGTATCTCCTCATTCTCGTAGCTGTTCAACGGGTCCTTCCGGTCTCGCACTTTTTCCAGACATCCCATGTGTCTATAATAATCGTTCCTTTGGTCATTAAAAGGATCATCAGCCTCAAGACTTCCAAAGAATCTCGGCTTTAATCCTGAGGTGTCATATATCTTCCTCCAATCTCAGGGCAGATTCTAATTGGTTTTAATTGTTTGTTCTGGTTAGCATTTTCTAGCATGATTGTTTTCTACGAGATGAAGTTGTCGGCTCCATGTCAATCCTCCTTCTTCACCCGGGCTGGGGACTGGCATCAGCCCTTGAAGAACTACAGGCGGAGTTAAAGTGTTTAAATTACTTCGTAATAAATTTGCATATGATATGCTACAATGTTTCTAGTCCTACAAAGCAGAGGACTAACGAGGATACTCTAAACCAGTTCACAGGATCAAGAAAAATTACTTGTCAGCTGAGTACCAAATTTCCCATCAGGCCACCAACGGACGGAATTCCTTACTTCAAGATGTGTCTAAAGCTTCATCTGTTGACGTTTTCAAAAGGAAGTTGAATCAACCGAGAGATTAACATAGGCCACCCAGCCTTCTGTCCTCTTAAACTGAAACTGATAATAGCCGTCAAATAGTTACCGGGAATTGAACTTCGAGCTACAGCAATTTGATTGAGAAGCTACCATCGTAGATCAGTAAATTCATTTACATGGCTACTGAGCGTTCCTGGAAGCCTCTGAGTCTTTTTTACGTAGAATATCCTGAAGGTAAGGCGATATTTGTTTTCGTACGTACTTCAAGCTGATGCTTTCGGAAAGCTACTGGCGTATTCCAGTATGGTGCCAATATTTATAATTTTCAGCATCATAACCCTTATTATGTCGAGAAGAGATTTGCATACGGTATTATCAGTTGTAGAATTCGCAACTAGATTTCAAGATATTTTATTTTTGTGGTTGCCTGATCAATGAGTTGAGTAATTATTTTCTCAAATACATCATTAAGCAGCCAAGGCCTTTCCCAACCAGTTTGTTCATAATGTTGACAAATCTTTGTACATATAGTTCACCTAGGTATTAAGTCATCAGGTATGCCTTCAAACCACGCGCAATTCATGGGCTTTTTCTGTGTTTACATTGGATTTTTCCTATTCATAAGGTTAGTGAAGCCTTTGCTTATTCGATTATTTAGGCTCAATCAGCGATCCTTTAGTCGCCAGTTGACAACATTTGTTTACTTAGTCTGTGCATCAGTTACTGCATTAGTTTGCTATAGCAGGTACCTGGAGTTTTTAATTGTTTCAAGGGTTTATTTATTGTATCATACTTCTACTCAAGTTTTAGTTGGGATCATAATAGGTGGAATTTTCGGGATGATCTGGTTCCTAATTGTTCAGTATGCGATAACACCAATATTTCCGCGGTTCACTGATAGGTAGGTTTTAATTTAATACCAATGTTTTCGAAAACAGTTCCCCAGACCTAATTTTTTTAGACAAACAGTGCACAGTCATTCTCGAAAGGATCAAAGAACAAAAGTTTGTACGCTTAGTCTTTAGAAAACGTTTTGACTTAGCACATCGTGCAGTAGTTTTGCATTTTAACCTGTAGTTCAGTAACTCAATACAATCCTTGTGCTTAGAAAATTCGAATAACTCTAAGACCACTACACATTTCGTTGGTTAGTATGTTTTGAATGAGATCTTTGGGTGGTATATATATATATATATATATATATATATATATATATATATATATATATGCATTGCCGCATTTAAGTTTGGAAATCGTAATAATTCATTTTGATACATGGTCTATAGGTGCTTAATGACATGAATCGCGTTCACATCGAAGTTAAGAGTTACATTCGGCATAAAGATCTTGCAGAATATCTTTTTGGTGAAATCGTTCACTAAGCAAAATGGTTCAAAAACTTTCGCATTGGCACAGACACATTCACTCTTTGTTGTCGCTTAGATTTTTCGTTCTGTGACTTCAGTTAGTCATATGCAACATAGAACTTGACATATAAGCACATTGGTTCAAGTCGCTATACCATTTTATAACATCCTGCCTTTACGTTCTCAATCCATATTGTCTACCTCTAATATTTTTTACTGTTACTATTTTAAGATTTGTATTAGTGATGTTGTCTCGCTACACTGACGTGGTGTAGGAACATAAAATAATGCAAATGTATGCCAGGTTCAGTGTTGTTTATGAATGAAAGGGACACAACACAATAGTGTTCTAGCATAAAGAGGTTACAAATGGAACAGAATGTCTTACCAAATATTACAAATTAGACTATGCTATAAATGAACTAGTTGGCTTTCCTAATTTCCAGGCCCCGTTTTAGTATAATTGTTGGTTGGCCAAATATTGGTTCACAACAAAGACAACATAGGGATGCGTGAATGCATTTGTCTAAGTTGTCACACTTTCCAAAAGTACAGAAATTACACAGGCAACTGAGCCATCCAAACGCAACGTAGAACCTGGTACGCGTGTACACCAGTTCAAGTTGTCATATCCAATCAACGTAGATGAAATTGTTAACGCGAACCCTAGAGGTAAAGGTAGTAAGTGCTAAATGTAATGGAGAAGATAATGCATCCAAGATGCGATTTGAGGAAACATCGATCAGTGTAATAAAAAAAATCATGAGGAATTTAGAAACTTAAGATCTAAGGGGAGATAAATAGTGGATGTTCCTGCGCCATCACGAATGACTTAAGCCATGCCATCCAAAGTCTACAACCGCTGGTTAAGATAATTATGCGAACCCCAACCAGATGGTTCTTACCAACCTAGATGGCTCAGTCCAATTGTCAATAGCCTCGTGGTCTTGGTTTAGCTATCCATAGCTTTCTTCCAACCTACTCTTACACCAGACATCGCTCGTCAAGGTTAGTGGTGGTTGAACATACATCTTACAACCACTTCCGTTGATGAATACTTACCCACTCACCGCTTGACTTGCCATGTTTACTTAATTACCTATTCCTAACCCAAACATAAGCATTACTTACTCAATGGTTCAAAAATAACCAAGTGATGCCACGAAGACACCTATGATCGAATACTGGTAACTTTAACGACAAACTACTTACCATATTCTTTAGAAGCTAATTATTTGCTCATGTTGACGACCAAGTTTATATTTTGTTTATTAAGATCTGGCAAAATGGTGACAACTTAGTTTCCCAGGTTATTTTCCTGTTCTATTTACTTTGACTGTTACTACAGTGTCCTTAAAACGGCAAGAAAGTTGGTACAGTTGGGCACTTACAAGATCTTTAATGGAAATAAAATCATGACAGGTTGGAGAAGTATAAATTAATTATGTAATAAGGGATACTGTATAATGATATATTTAGAAGTTGACACAAACCAAAAAGACTTCTTGATCAGTTTATATTTAAGTTAGTCAAGTACTTTGCTCTGAGTTACTGGTCAAACTGAGACTGAAGTGTGCATGGGAAGCATATAACATAACTGCAAAGTTGTAGGGAATCAAATATAATGGGTCATTTAGACGGCGTATTATCATTCCTATTTATAAATCCGATCTGAGTTCTGAACCACAGACTGTATAATAGCACCAACTCAAAACATTACCTAGATAGGTTTTTTTTAACCAAGAACGTTTGTATTTTATGAGGAATTCCTTAGGGATGTCTCTGGATTAAAAAATAGCATCCTGACGTACGAACCCTGTGACCTTTAGGAGACATACCAGTATGCTGTGATGAAGGAAAAAACTTTTTCACTTCACGGTATCATATCATAAACCGACCATGACCCTGCTTTTTGCACAGTGTGTTAGTGTTGGCAATCAATATTCCATATGAGACAACCTTAAATTGAGTAAAGTGTAAGTTTCTGTAGCGGATCGGCAATTAAATTGATTGTTCTTATAGGTTAAGAATATCACATTACGGAAAGGTTTTCTACGTTATTCTGATAACTTTGTTTGTTTGTTTTGTAGTTGGATTGGTCAATTATTAATGTTGCAAGACTTTACACATATCAACAATCTTATGCATTTTGAATATACTATTGTGCAGAATTACATTCAGTAAGCAAACAGTTTTGATATAAATATGTGTCGCTAGCAAAAAATGCTTAATATTTTTGGGCATTTGTATTCATATACTTGACTTTGGATGAGTAAATTACTTATCTGATGAATCATGTGACAGGCTATGGACGGATTCAAGAAGTTTTAGGAGATTTGAATGGAGAGTTTGGCGTTTGCCAAAGTAGACACTACTGACCGAACTTCATGTAGGTGAAATGTTATATGGTCACTGAGGCATTATTTGGGAATTACAATTCCATACAGTGAAGACTGGTCTCGAAGCAAACAAACTCATTGTTGTCCCTTAGACGTGCCGGTAATACTTCGTGTAGACTCTCATCCTGAATTTCTGTTAAGATATATAAATATATGTCTTATATTGTCATTTTTAATTTGTGTAAAGAAAGAGTGATAAAGGTTCACAATAATTACCGTACTAACAAAGAAATACTACGTTAAGTGATTTTGACAAATCTTAGTAAACTGTGACCAATGTTGATTATTGTCTTAAATTTTTTCTGAAAATATCCGTATGATTATATAATGACCTTCTCTTAATTTCAGTAGGACGAAATCCGAAAGGCCCACGTGAAGAATATAGCGTTTTTTTTATTTATGAACTATTTTTGCGACCAGTTTTTCTAATAAACAACTTATTAGCATTTCTCGTTTTCCTTATATTGTGCGTAACGTCCTGTTATCTACTAGCGCAATCTTGTCATTTTGCAGACCCTCAAAACTTCAGTTGAAGAGAAAAGATATCATTGTTACAAAAGATACATGTACAAGTACTTGGATCCACTGAATAATGTTACACATAGAACCACACTGTAGAACCAATAAACAAGTCTTCATCTGTATGTTCATGGATGTTCTAATTCTTCTGGACGTATAGGCCTCGTCATTGGTATGACAGATCGTTTAAGCACATCCGCTGAAAGTGCTTTTCTCATATCTAAGAAAATTGAGCAGATAACTTAAAACATTGTTTTTGAATTGTATGTAATATACGTTATATTTAATATTAGATTTGCATTGTTTCCCAAAGTAAGAAATAATGGAACTGATAGTTCCACTTAGTATAGTACAGAAGTAAATGAGTGAACAAATATATATGATGTAAATAAGTAACGAAAACTTACTCAAACTTAAATGAATGTTCACAAACACCAAACAGTTATGTAAAGTTGGTTAATAATTTGCTTTAAAGTTGACATTTAGTGGAAATGATAACTCAAAAACTTAACATTCAGGAGTTGGACAACCCAATCTTATTGGACAGGCACACTAAATTTGAGACCGATTAAAAGCGCAAAATTCTAGATTCGAATTGATATGTGCTTGGCTGAGTAATCCTGAAATCTTAATTTTAACAGTGTGAGGAAGTTGCCGATTATCCCAGAAATTATTTCATAAACCAAAACAGCATCGAGTTTTCCTGAATTTCTGAGGTGCATATCTGTGAGCGTCTAGTTTTACATCTAAAAAATGAGACTTGTCAGTCAGTCACACAACATAGGACACGGCACATCTGCATCGGTTCAAGTTGCCACAACACATCAGCATAATTAGATCTCTGAGTAGTGTAGGTATTGGTGGTAGTTAAGAAATATGATGCGAGAAAATATGGATTTGTGGGATGATGAACTTGGTATCTGATATAAGATAAAGACTAGATGTACCTGTCACTGAGCTATGCCATCTAAAGACTAGCCCCATATATATTTCTAACCGCTTATTCTTGCTAAAACGATGAAAATATACCCCTGTATATTCGAATGGCTTTGTGAACATCCATTCAGTTATTCAAATTGCGATTAGGAAACTTAAGTTGCTGAAGACAGATGCTTAAAGGTCCGCCGCTAGTGAAACTACTTTTGACAAGATGGTAACACAACCTATCATAATTCTATTCCACACTTTTTCTCCCATCTCAATCATTTCTTAAACAAATTTTTTTACTGCAATGGATATTATTAATTCCCCAGCTTTATTCCCCATCTTACTTTCTTGTTGTGTTGATGCAAGGTATAAGAACCTGAGCCGACACATGTTTATAACTGATTAATTTGATCTGTGCAGAACGAAGGTATGTTCAACTAGCGCCATAATATTTTGCCTTTTGGTTATCAAAAGTAAAACACAAGTGTGGATTTTTATTTAGAAATGGACTTGTAACCTTAATTGCTTATAGCGAAAACATATCCAAAGATACTTGATTATATGTATAACCCCCTCTAAGGTAAATAACAAGTTGTGCGGTAAAATTGAGAAAATTCATCTAGTACTATGACTGTATATTTTGGAATACTAGTTGAATTCTTGTCTCATTGATAAACGACATGTGAATAACTTGAGCTAACTATCTAGTCATCTGACGCTTTATATACACAACTTTATGAAGAATCATAAATAGTTTGACACTTACCGAAAGCATCTTCATCTTCAACGGAACCCCAGTAGTAATTTAAGACTCTGCGGTATATAATATATCCCAATTTACTATAAATATCTATGCCCAGTTTGTTAGATGCACGTACGAATAGATCAACAAAGTAACATCGTTTCCTAAAGGAAAGAGAAGAATTGGGAGATTCAGTTTAATAGCGACGTAAAACTTATAGGAATGAGCCCTATGGCTTATTTATTATGAATCTTTGCACTAGTGCGATTGTTAGACGTTATAATAACTGTTTCGAGTATTATTCTTCTAAATTTATTTCCCCGCAATCTAGGAGCTATATTCATTCTTTAGTGCGATTGAATTTCAAAGCGGAGTTGTTCTCCTAGGTTTTTTATTTGATATCACTGTTATCCGAGTCTTAAAGTAATCGACTCGCTTAGTGTGACCGTAAAACAGCATATTAAATGAAAACTTGAAGTTTCTCAATAATCTTTATATTTCGTAAAACCACACTGTAGTGGCAAGTCTGAGTGGTAGCACATTATATACATAGAGTTAAATTTCTAGGTTGGAAGCCAACACTCTACTGTGTGATATCGAGTCAGATAGTTCCTTAAACATAAATAAAACCTTCAAACTCGTGAGTAAGAAGTTAGATCCTCGTCATAGGAGAACAACCTTGGAGTAGGCTAGTTACAAAACAACTTTATCTCGCAGACTTGACCAGAGGTAATTTTTATCTAAATAAAAACTAGACTTCATGAATATAAGAGAAACCACCAGGAGCTCATACTTATCAAAACTAAGCAGATTTCTCCTATTATTTTTAGTTGGACAAGCTAAGTTAACAAGTTTTATATCGAGTTCAGAATCCATAAGACAGTCTCAGTTTACAACTACAATAATGTTACTTTGTGGCGACTAGGCCACTCTATATGTAATCTGTGTTAATGTCTCTGGTTGAGAAATTTAAAATGTACTGAACAAAATTAATACACAGTCAACCTAGAATTTAATTTCCAATAATTGTTAAATGACAAGACGAAATTGTTAGGGTGGTCATTATAGGTTTACGGCAATGACTTATGAAGTGGATAGTTGTTCTCAACATATTGTTGCAACACGATCGTAATGAAAAGATTTCAATTATGTTCCGTAGTGTAGCTAGAAAAACCATGGATTAGTCCTCTGTACACTTAGATCATGAAGTCCTTTTATCATATTATTTGAACACATAAATATTGGTACAAGAAGGTACCAGATACATATGCGCCACACAAATCTCATTTGATCTGTGTGAGGGCTGTGATACTACCCGGGTGCCTAAGCCGGAGCAGGTGTTTTTCCTAGGGGGCCACACCCGGAGCCTTCGATCTAAAGGTCTGATCCACAATGCAGTGGGGCATCGTAAGGAGATGCAGTCCCATGGTAGCCGGTGACCAACAATAGGCTCATACGTCATTTGTTCCTTCAGGGTACTGAAGCCTGTGTGCACCATTGGTTTAGAACCAGGGTTTTCCAACTCCCCTAGGTGAATCCTCTGTATCCACCAACCCGGTTAAAGCACCGAACATTCGCTTTTCGTCCTCTCGATTTCGTAAACAACACCCTCCATAAGAAGGCAGTGAGTAGGACATCCCTGGCAGAGGCTATATACGCGTGGCCACGTGAGAGCATTTCGAGAGGGAGAGCGGACTCTCCCCACTCTCGGCCTTACCAGGGCATTTGGGGGCCCTTTTATCACAATGTTCAATCACTGTAGAGCAGGCATCATGTAATGTATTTTTTAGTGTTGACTGAATTCCACCAATCAACTCTGCAATTTGACCGTCAGAATAAATAAGTTTTTCCATGTTGAGTACATAGTAATCTAGTGTATAAAATCAGATGCGATGCTTCAGTCTACTGTATTTTTTCTTTTAACACCACGCGCCTATACAAGATAAAAGTTTCTAAATGTATACTGATTAGTAGACTGTTGTGTTACATAAAAAGAAACTAGAAGGAACTTAAACAAAGGAGTCTGTTTTCTTAATAAAACACCAGGTTAGTAGCGACGTCTAGTTTATAACCAAGTAAATCCTTCACAGCCGTAAACTTTAGGTATACGTAATTTATTTAAAAAACCAGGGTATTAACGACAGCTTTTTCAGAAATATTTGGACCATACCAATTTTGAGATCCAGTTTATTTTCTAAACGTCCTTACCGTTCGGAAGTTTCTTCTAACTCTAGCATTAGTTGAGTAGCTAATCTCAAACGACGATACTCAGGAGCCACCGACAGCGCTGTGACATGACCATGCCAGTCCACTCCATGACCTTCTGACTTCGCCATCATATAGCCCATAAGTCGTTGACACGTAGACGGTATTGATAATACCTTGGGAGATGGGTTTTGTGAATCACCTGTGTGTGAAATATCCGAAAGACGTGTCGAATTTCTTTCAAAACAGGTTAGTGTGGGTGATTCTAGGACTCGCATATACTCTGGCCATTTTGCCAAATAATGCAGATAAAATCCGATACTATACTGTTATTGCCATTAGAAGTGTAACAGTACCACTAAGTTAAAGAAAGTACAATTTCATAATGGTCTATCGAGCGTATTCTAAATAATATACAACTTAGAGGGAAAACAAGTTTTTTTTAGTTCGTTCGCTTGCCACCTACTGGACACGAAGCACACGAGAGACACGATGTACATATTCTAAATCGTTAATAAACAATATAGTTTTACTCTAATGATAATTGTGTAAAATACAGCAACTAAGAGGCCCATTCAGAAATAGTTAGTGGTTACGGCCCAAGTGCTTTGATAATAATTGAGCTAAGTGAAGAAATTAACTCCGCCTGGAGTCCCTCCGGGGGCTACTGCCGGTCCCAAGCCCGGATAAAGGAGGAGGGTTGGGCATGGGGTTAGCGTCCCCATCCCGTAGAAAACTAACTCGCTAAAAAAACGCTAACCAGAAAAAATTATTCAAACCTTTTTAGAAGAATTATGACGCCTCATGATGAAAGCCGAATCCCTTCGGAAGTTACTAGGCCGATGCCCCTTCTGACAACCAGAGCGACCATTTATTTAGGTACATGGAATGTTCGTACAATGTGGGACACTGGAAGTGCCTTCCAGATTGCTGCAGAAATGAGAAGATACAACCTAGAGGTACTTGGGATCAGTGAAACACATTGGACACAAGTTGGACAACAACGACTAACTACAGGAGAGCTCCTGTTATACTCCGGCCATGAAGAAGAAAATGCACCACATACACAAGGAGTTGCATTGATGCTGTCCAAACAAGCGCAAAATGCACTTATAGGATGAGAATCTCATGGACCAAGGATCATCAAAGCCTCGTTTAAAACAAAGAAATAGGGCATTTCAATGAACATCATCCAATGCTATGCGCCTACCAACGACTACAATGAAGACGCTAAAGATCAATTCTACGATAAATTGCAGTCAATCGTCGAGAAGTGCCCAACAAAGGACCTGACCATTCTGATGGGAGATTTCAACGCCAAGGTTGGAACGGACAACACTGGATATGAAGACATCATGGGACGACACAGACTGGGAGAAAGGAACGAAAATGGTGAGAGATTTGCAAACCTATGTGCCTTCAATAAACTGGTCATAGGCGGCACCATATTCCCACATAAACGCATACACAAAACCACATGGACTTCACCGGATCACTCTACACAAAACCAAATCGACCATATTTGCATCAACAAAACGTTCAGGAGGACTATAGAGGACGTGAGAACCAAGAGAGGAGCTGATATAGCATCACATCATCACTTGCTGGTCGCCAAGATGAAATTGAAACTCAAGAAGCACTGGACAACGGGGCAGACAGTATCACAAAAGTTCAATACGGCCTTTCTCCAGGATACTAACAAACTCAACAAATTCAAGATAGTCCTCAGCAACAAGTTCCAGGCCTTTCATGATCTACTCAATGGAGAAGGAACTACTGTGGAGAGCAACTGGAAGGGGATCAAAGAGGCAATCACTTCAACATGTCATGAGGTCCTGGGTCACAAGAAGCACCACCACAAGGAATGGATCACTGTTGGTACACTGGATAAGATTTTAGAAAGGAGGAACAAGAAGGCAGCGATCAATACCAGCCGAACAAGAGCAGAAAAAGCCAAGGCACAAGCTGAATACACGGAAATAAACAAACAAGTGAAGAGGAGCATCAGAACCGACAAACGTAAATATGTGGTAGATTTAGCAACGACGGCGTAAAAGGCTGCAAGAGAAGGAAACATGAGACAATTGTATGACACGACAAAGAAACTCTCTGGAAATCGCCACAAACCAGAACGACCAGTGAAAAGCAAGGAAGGCAAGGTAATCACCAACATTGAAGAGCAACAAAACAGGTGGGTAGAACATTTCAAAGAACTGTTGAATCGACCAGCTCCACTGAACCCACCCAACATCGAAGCAGCACCCACGGACCTCCCAATCAATGTTGGCACACCAACAATTGAAGAAATCAGCATAGCCCTCAAACAAATCAAGAGTGACAAAGCAGCAGGACGAGACAACATTCCAGCAGAGGCACTAGAAGGAGACGTAGCGGTAACTTCAAGGATACTCCACATCCTCTTCAATAAGATTTGGGATGAGGAACAAGTACCAACAGACTGGAAAGTAGGATTCCTGATCAAAATACCAAAGAAAGGCGGTCTCAGCAACTGTGATAACTACAGGGGCATCACTCTTCTCTCAATACCGGGAAAAGTCTTCAACAGGGTATTGTTAAACAGGATGAAGGACTCTGTAGACGCCCAACTTCGTGACCAACAGGCAGGATTCCGTAAGGATAGATCGTGTACAGACCAAATCGCAACTCTACGGATCATTGTGGAACAATCAATTGAATGGAATTCATCCCTTTACATCAACTTCATTGACTACGAGGAAGCATTTGATAGCGTGGACAGAACAACACTATGGAAACTTCTTCGACACTACGGCGTGCTTCAGAAGATAGTCAATATCATACAGAACTCATATGATGGATTACACTGCAAAATCGTGCATGGAGGACAGTTGACAAAGTCGTTCAAAGTGAAGACCGGTGTTAGGCAAGGTTGCTTACTCTCACCCTTTCTCTTTCTCCTGGTGATCGACTGGATCATGAAAACGTCAACGTCCGAAGGAAAGCGCGGGATACAATGGACATCTAAGATGCAGTTGGATGATCTAGACTTCGCAGACGATCTGGCCCTTCTATCCCAAAGGCAACAACAGATGCAGGAGAAGACGAACAGTGTGGCAGCAGCCTCAGCAGCAATAGGCCTCAATATACACAAAGGGAAAAGCAGGATTCTCCGATACAACACAGAATGCACCAATCCAATTACACTTGACGGAGAAGATTTGGAAGATGTCAAAACCTTTACGTATTTGGGCAGCATCATTGATGAACACGGTGGATCTGATGCAGATGTGAAGGCGCGGATCGGAAAAGCAAGAGCAGTATATTTACAACTGAGGAACATCTGGAACTCAAAGCAACTGTCAACCAACACCAAGGTCAGGATTTTCAATACAAATGTCAAGACAGTTCTACTGTATGGGGCGGAAACCTGGAGAACTACGAAAGCCATCATCCAGAAAATACAGGTGTTTATTAACAATTGTCTACGCAAAATACTTCAGATCCATTGGCCGGACACTATTAGCAACAACGTACTGTGGGAGAGAACAAACCAGATCCCAGTGGAGGAAGAAATCAGGAAGAAGCGCTGGAAGTGGATAGGACACACATTGAGGAAAGCACCCGACTGCATCACAAGACAAGCCCTCACATGGAATCCTGAAGGTCAAAGGAAAAGAGGAAGACCAAAGAACACATTACGCCGGGAAATGGTGATAGACATGAGAAAAATGAACAAGAATTGGATGGAACTAGAAAAGAAGGCCCAGGATAGAGTGGGTTGGAGAATGCTGGTCAGCGGCCTATGCTCCATTGGGAGTAACAGGCGTAAGTAAGTAAGTAAGTAAGTAAGTAAGTAAGTAAGTAAGTAAGTAAGTAAGTAAGTAAGTAAGTAAGTAAGTAAGTAAGTAAGTAAGTAAGTAAGTAAGTAAGTAAGTAAGTAAGTAAGTAAGTAAGTAAGTAAGTAAGTAAGTAAGTAAGTAAGTAAGTAAGTAAGTAAGTAAGTAAGTAAGTAAGTAAGTAAGTAAGTAAGTAAGTAAGTAAGTAAGTAAGTAAGTAAGTAAGTAAGTAAGTAAGTAAGTAAGTAAGTAAGTAAGTAAGTAAGTAAGTAAGTAAGTAAGTAAGTAAGTAAGTAAGTAAGTAAGTAAGTAAGTAAGTAAGTAAGTAAGTAAGTAAGTAAGTAAGTAAGTAAGTAAGTAAGTAAGTAAGTAAGTAAGTAAGTAAGTAAGTAAGTAAGTAAGTAAGTAAGTAAGTAAGTAAGTAAGTAAGTAAGTAAGTAAGTAAGTAAGTAAGTAAGTAAGTAAGTAAGTAAGTAAGTAAGTAAGTAAGTAAGTAAGTAAGTAAGTAAGTAAGTAAGTAAGTAAGTAAGTAAGTAAGTAAGTAAGTAAGTAAGTAAGTAAGTAAGTAAGTAAGTAAGTAAGTAAGTAAGTAAGTAAGTAAGTAAGTAAGTAAGTAAGTAAGTAAGTAAGTAAGTAAGTAAGTAAGTAAGTAAGTAAGTAAGTAAGTAAGTAAGTAAGTAAGTAAGTAAGTAAGTAAGTAAGTAAGTAAGTAAGTAAGTAAGTAAGTAAGTAAGTAAGTAAGTAAGTAAGTAAGTAAGTAAGTAAGTAAGTAAGTAAGTAAGTAAGTAAGTAAGTAAGTAAGTAAGTAAGTAAGTAAGTAAGTAAGTAAGTAAGTAAGTAAGTAAGTAAGTAAGTAAGTAAGTAAGTAAGTAAGTGAAGAAATTAGTTTCAATTATTCAACTTAAAGATTTTTCTATTTTAATTGTAATTTTAGTAAACCTTTATCCTTTTATGTAACAAAAGTCGTTTTTTAACACACTATAACTGCCCATAAACACCACTAACTTTTCAATGTAAACTAGGTTTCAAATGTGTCTTCCAAAAAACCTACTGTCCTCTGATTGGCAAATAATTTCTTGATTTCTAAGTACGTTAAAATTTCAAGATGACTTAATAACTTAGATATGGTTAAGGAGGAAGTAGTAGACTACACTGAGTTTACTGAGTCTTCCAAACACTGATATTTTTACTTTTTCAATTTGTGTGAGGAACCGTTTGAATCATGTTGAACTGTCTAATATGTAAATTACACATAGAAACAGTATTATTAACGTTTCCTATGCAAATTAATAAACAATGATATCAAGGAAACCACATAATTCCAATAGTTCGGATTCTTGTTCATTGGAAGTTTGAGTCGTTACTTTTAAAAAGCAAATAAACGATCAGTATTATTTTAAGGTGTATAGTTAACTTATACTCAGTGAAGTGTGTTGAAAACGTTATCTGATGAATAATGCTGTTTCTCTGTATTCATAGAATACAAACCAGCGTTAGATTTCCGTTAGTATCTTATTCCTAAAGATATTATATTAGCTGGACAAATATATAAATACTTTCACATACACCTCAAATTCCACAAGATTCAGCAGACATATAACTAATATGCTAAAGGATACAGTTTCCGTATACATATCCAGATTACTAAAACAAAAGCAAAGAATATGGTTGAATATGTAGTACAAATATAATTTTATTAAACTAAGTAAGCAGTATACACAAAACGATTTATAACGTAAAATGGAGCCATATTCGTGCTTGTACAGTTTAGGCATAAACTTACTTTCAGCAGCTCTTAGAAAAACGCAGTACAGTTAGAACATGGCTTACGACTACCTAAGTTCGGTTTCCATATTTAGGTAAAATGAAACAAAAAGACACCACTCATAAGCCCAATACAGTACAACAAACCCTCAGTGTGGAATGACCTTGAAGAAAATAAACTGGCTTCTCAAGTTAATTAGCAATGCTAATTCTAAAACTTCTGCTACATATGGGAGAGTAATATCAAGGCTCATAGATTTTAATAGCTAGTAACTGAATCTTAACAGCTAAATTCTTCATAGGTTGTATTTTCCATCAATAACTGATCTTACTAGTAGTAGGTTTATATTCAAACAAAAAGCCTAATATTATAAAGGACACAGAATTTCTAGATTCTCTGATGACTTCTGCTGAAAACAAAGTATATTAAACTACTGTCAGAGGCAGCGTTATCCACTTTATTCGATATCATTTAGCCTTAATAAGATAATACTCTCTCATCTAAAATAATAAAAAACAGAAAAAAGAAATCAATCTACAGCATATGTTATGAGGTTTAATTGATTTGTAGCAGTTAGTCAGTCAGTAACAACGTAGAACTTCGTACGTACGTACATCAGTTCGAGTTGCCACACTTATTTATCACTAATAACTGGAAGTTTTCGTCATTAGGAATTTGAGTCTAACGTAATTCCAATCTAATTTACAAATATTATTGCGGAAGTCGTAACACTGAATCAGTTTCCGCAGATAACATCGTATCTTTGCGTGGAAATACTATCAACGTATGTTTGTAAACCGAAATATCAGGTTTAGCCATGCTTGGTGTACAACAACATCACTCGACACTTACGTTATTCTAACCGAATTCTTTGTTGTTAAAATATATTTCAAAGATCCTTTCGTGTATCAGACACAAGAAGTGTTGACCAGTTCGTTACATCACCAAGTGAGTTAAAGTTTTGAACTCCACAAAACTAGTGTCAAAATTCGTAAATAACCAGTGAGTCAAAACAGGATGTAATCACTTTAACAGATAGGTTTTCCTAACCAATGATAAAATCTGCAATATCGAAGGATGAAGCACTCATTATTGTAGTGCAATTTGTAGACGTCCCTTACAGTACCAGACACTTTGTTCCCGAATGCCCTGGTACGGCTTAGGATGCGGAGTCCGCTCTTCTTTTTAAAATGCCCCCACACAACATGTATACAGTCACTGCCAGGGAAGTCCTACTCACCGCCCTGTCACGGTTAAGAAACGAAGAATAAGAGCTGACAATTTGGTTATCAGGCTACATCGTAACTAAGATTAGTAAAAAATAAACTAATGACTATCCATACAGACGAAACAACTGACTTACAGGTGTGTCCATAAGTGTGAGAGTCAAGAATAACTAACAAATAGTTGACGAACACACAAAAGATCAAGCACAACAATGAATGGTTTTACTGTACTCTAAAGTCGTATTTAAAGGTCACGTAAAACAAAACTAAAGTATAATCAGGCAAAAACTTACATATTCCCAAACTTCAACAAGTCTAAGCAAGTAAATGGCCTCACGGTTACCATACTGCAATCGATTTTCTCTCCGACTCGATTACAAAAGAATATGTCTAGCAATTCACAAACAGGTTACATATAACTGAAGTCACAATACATCAAATAAGGGTAAGGTTGTTATGTATACATCTATACTAAACCAAAAAATATCAGCTCTAATAGAGGGTGAAAAATACTTTCCGCAGCAGAATATTACTGTCTTCAAAGGTTATTCTTTATGATAGTAGGGTCACAGTTTAAACATGTAGACCTGAGGAAGTAAAATATATGTGGTTATGTAGAATTTGAGTATGTTTGGCCCTTTTGAACTTGTAAATTTCTTGATGAAAAATTACTATTTTGATTTCATATGACTAATAATTGACTTAGCTCTTTATACTTTTCTAATCTACTTCTCGTATATCTACTACTTATTGAGATTTATTGCACAAATAAAACAATATACCAGAATCAGGAAACATCCTCAGACTATTTTAATGCTGGCAGACATTACTGTTACACTGTAAATGATGTACTTTAGTATTATCACTCAACCATTCAAAACTTCTGAGACTAAAAAATACCACCAATAATTTAACTTATAAGGCCGAATAAAGGCATCTGGTAAGTAAACACCTCCCGCTCATTTTTTTCATTTATCGTAGGTAACACCTTCATATGCCAGCAAATAGGGAAGCGTACAGTACAGCAGTCTCAACTATATTACTGAACGGTTGTCTTAATGGGCTATAAAAGTAGAAGATATGCGTAGGCTGAGAGTATTTCATCATAAGTATCTCTTAAGTATTGCTCACACTACAATAAATGAGTGGTTAATCTTTAGCTAATATATGCACAGCACCAGGCGAAACGTGAAATTACATTTATGAGGTTAAAAACCTTCAATGGAGGTGGTTATGATGAACACTACGCATTCCTAAGTATTTCTTATACCGATATGCAACTTTGGGTGATATATGTTGGTAAAAAACTAGCACGAAAAATCAAGATGTGAGATTTGCCCACAAAATTCCAGATTAATCGCAATGACCATTCCGAAAAGCAGACTTTTTGGTACAGATCGGTTCAACACTTGTAATAAATGGTCGCAGATGTTGAATAATATGGAATACAATCAGTCACTGTGGCTAAGCGGTATTTGGTCCTTACGTCCCGCCAAATCTTCGACATAGTACTATTTCTAAATTTTTAATTTACGAACCCATTTATTTGTGCCGTATTTCTCATGTTTACATTCCAATGTTTTTCGACATTTCAAACCTCATGCTTGTGGTCTCGATGAATGCCTCTAAGACACATAAATTCTACTCAAATAATGACAGCTCTGGGAGGAAATTATCCAAGTTGTATGTATAATTTGCGACATGTTCTAGATAGCCTACGCTTAATGGGTGAGGCTATAAGTTATGGACGAATCCATCATGTATAACATAACAGGTCTCAGATTTTGGCGCGAAATTCACTCATCCATCTGGGTAAATAGTGTTGGCATTTTAGCTGATGTTAGTTAGTGATGAAAACTCTAAATCTAATTTTTAACCTTAATCCTCAACTGTATATCATAATTCTAACTCCCCACACAGGTCAGTCAGTCAGTAACAACGTAGAACTTCGTACGTACGTACATCAGTTCGAGTTGCCACACCACATTAGCACAGAGATGCACTTGTCGATTTAAATCCCGTAGTGGTAGAGGTAATAAGAGCATAAGCAGTAATCGGGAAAATTAGGGTTTGGAGATGTTATTTGAAGAGTATAATACAGTGAAATAAATTTGGGAAGCGAAAAAAGAGACAAGGAGGAATCAGAAAATTAAAATTTGGGAGAACACAAAGAGTGTATGCACCTGCGCCATTGCAAACGATTTTGAGCCATGTCATTCAGGGTCTCTAACCATCGGTTGCTGTCATCTCGCGGTCCCCAACCAGGTAGTCTACATCTACTAACATGACTCAGTCCACTTGTCAGTGACTTCATGGACTTATGCCATGTTTTGGTCTGGCCGCCCCTTGCTTTCTTCCAACCTACTCCTATACCACTGAACATCGCACGTTGAGGCGATGTCACACAGGGACGAGCCAATCAGAAGCGTTTGACCAATTTCATGGTCACGGAGCCAAGTTCAACACGCGATGCTGTAGCAGTATCAACAACCATTACATGTGACTTTACTAATGCAAGTTTGTTTTCCTTGTTTCAGGGCAACAGAAAGTGAACGTACTAAAAGAATAAGAACAGGCCTTGCGCAAGTTAAACCTGCGGAATAATGAGTAAAACCATCTACATGTCGACTCTTACAAAAAGATGTACTCTTTTTGGGGCATCGCATTACGGAAGATGGAAGAGCAACGGATAAGGCAAAAACGAGCGCCATTATTAACTGGCCACAACCGAAATCTGCCGAGGATGTTCGCAGCTTCCTGGGGCTCGCTTCTTATTGCAGACGTTTCGTACGCGATTTCGCATCCCTGGCAGCACCTTTACATCGCCTGACGCTTAAAGGACGAAAATTTTTGTGGACCACAGACTGCCAACACGCATTTAAGACTTTGAAGTCCGTTCTTGCTGCTCCGCCCATACCGGCTTTTCCGGACACTTCGGCTAAAGCGGGTGAGTTCATACTTGATACAGATGCTAGCTCATCAGCTATTGGAGCAGTCCTGTCTCAAATAGCACAAGACGGAAAGGAACGGGTCATAGCGTACGCTAGTCGGCGGCTAGATAAAAGAGAGACACGGTATTCTACGACGCGCCGAGAGATGCTGGCTTTGGTAAAATTTTTGCAACATTTTCGTCACTATCTCTTAGGACGACCCTTTCGTGTACCACAGACCACCGTGCACTACAGTGGCTTCGTTCATTCCGTGAACCAGAAGGTCAGGTAGCGCGCTGGCTGCAGAGGTTGCAGGAATTTGATTTTACTTGCGAATACCGACCCGGAAGCCGACACACAAACGCCGATTCCCTATCTCGTATACCCTATTCTCCTGATACCATTAATGCCGTTCTTAGCACAGCCCCCGATATCAACTGGCCGTCGCTTCAAGCAGCAGACCCTGATCTGCGATTTATTTACCAGAGGCAACTACATGGCAATAATAAACCATCTATGACAGAGTTGAAGGATCATTCCTTGGCGACGCGCCGTCTGTGTGCCAAGTGGAGCAGTCTAAGATTGTATGAAGACACGTTATTTATAGTCAGCGAATCAAAACAGCCACTATTGATAGTACCACGTGTACACGTTCAGAATATTATGGAGCAGGTACACCGAGAACCGGGGCACTCAGGAAAACGGAAGACTGAACATGCTATCTGCCAGAGGTTTTGGTGGCCATCCATCCATGAAGACGTTGCCGAATTCTGCAAAAATTGTAGCACGTGCTATGCTATCAAGTCACCCCGACAAATACTTCGTGCACCCTTAGTTCCAATGACGACAGAAGGTCCGCATCAGCGAGTTGGCATCGATATTATGGGGCCACTCACAACATCAAGGAACGGAAACCGTTATATCTTAGTTATGGTAGACTATTTCAGCAAATAGTGTGAAGCTGTTCCTATACCACAACAAGATGCCCTCACAGTCACTCGTGCTTTCGTTGATCATTGGGTATCCCGGTACGGCGCTCCCCTTTCACTCCATTCTGACCAATGTTCAGCTTTTGAAAGTCATCTCGTCGCTCAGGTATGTCGATTATTGGGAATCCGAAAAACACACACTACCGCATATCATCCAGAAAGTAACGGCTTGGTGGAAAGAACCAACAGGACTATCAAAACTCTCTTACAGTCGTTTATCAATAAGTCGTCGACGGAATGTTGGGACGGCGAGACTCTAATTTAGGGACGAGCCAATGAGAAGCGTCTGAGTAATTTCAATTATTAGCCAATCAGAAGACAGTATAAAGTAAAAATATATTACAAGAAAGTAATGAATTACAGTGGATATTCTTCTTTTACATGACTAAAAAACTTGTTAAGGTTTGATAAAGGTTCAGAATTTCTGAATTCATAATGCATACGGTATAGGAACTCGTCCATAGGGTTAGGGTGCTAACATGCGATCGGTTTACATCGGATTTAAGAGAAGAAGTGTTTATTGAGAGGCTAAAACCCTAACCCTGACCCTAACCGTAACCCCTACCCTAGCCCTAAACCCTAACTTCTAGCCTTAAACCCTAACCTCTAAAATCCGTTGTAAACCGATCGCTTGTCAGCACCCTAACCTTAACCCCAACCCTAGGCTACAACCCTAACCCAATGGACGAGTTCCTATACCATATGCATTATGAATTCAGAACCTCTGAACCTTTATCAAACCTTAACAAGTTTTTAAATCATGTAAAAGAAGAACATACACTGTAATTCATTACTTACTTATAATATATTTTCACTTTATACTAACTGTCTTCTGATTGGCTAATAATTCAGTCAGTCTTCAGTAATAAGGATAGGAGGTCTGTCGACCTATATTAATCCTTGCAGTTTGTAATACTGTGGAGGTCCAACCTCGTTTTGAATATATTAACAGACGGTGCTGATATTACGTGTTCTGGTAGAGAATTCCAGTAATTCACTACTCGGTGCGAGAAACGGAACTCCAGACGTAAACGGTTTGATCTCGGTTTTTGAACTTTCTTCGAATGTCCTCTCAAATGATCGGTTCTAGACGGAAGAAAAAGATAAGTCATGTTAATACCAAGGTTATCGTTCAGTATACGATAAGCCAATATTAGATCACCCCGTACTCTACGGTAAGATAACGGAAATAAGTTAAGGTGACTCAGTCTGTCTTCATAAGATAGGCCAGATAGACCTTGTACCATCTTAGTAGCACGTCGTTGGACTCTTTCTAGCATATCTGCTTCATATTGGAAAAAAGGACTCGCTGCTTGAATCCCGTATTCTAAATGTGGTCGCACATAAATCGGGTATAGTAATCCAAACATTTCATCATCTAAATACTGGAAAGACCTACGAATTGACCATAATACCCTATAGCCTTTTGCAGCAGCAGCCTTACAGTGACTAGTCGTTTTGAGATCATTGC